AAAATCAAATTAAAAGTTGAACAAACTTTACCTGTTACTCGTGAAATAGTGCGACACATCCACTAAATTACACAAGAAACTCTCAGTTATTGATTTGTTAGTATAATTCATTTTTAGTAGATGTAAAAGTTACTAAATTTATCAATAATTTATTAATTTAAATGAAAAAATAATAATTTTATCTTAAAATAAACATTAAAAAAAATTTTTTTATAAAATTTATCATTGTGACTTTTAAATGAAATGAAAATGATACTTTTTATTATATAATATAAATTTTTTAAAGAAAACATTATTTGATTTTATTAATTTATTAAAAGGGCCCTCGGGTTACGATTGAAATTAGGGGGCAACTCCGACTCGACTTTTATGGGTCTGGAGTGGAGTCAGGAAGATGTGAAAGTGACGGGCTTTGTTGAAATCGGGTTGAACCCTGATAGAAGTTACAGCTGTTTTCCTGACCCTACACCTGCACCCCTAATTTTAAGCGATTCGCACGGGGAATCTTCAACGCGGTGATGATTGATTTTTAATTTTCGCATTTGCCGTTGAAATTTATTGCCAAAAGCCTCTGCCACGGCACGGCACTTGCAGCAGCAGGCCATCCACTAAAACGTGTTTCTAAATTTGGAGGGCAATGTTTTCATTTAAGTAAAATGAGCTACTTATATCTTTTGGTGGCATTCATAATTGGGTTTTTTTATCTTGTTATTTGAGGGTATTTATTATATTTTATTATTGTTATTATTATATAATAAAATTAAAAATTAATATTAATTTTACTAATTGTTTAATAAAAATATTCATGTATCATAAATATTAAAATTAATGTTAATTTTTTATTTTTATAAAATAATGTATAAAAAAATATGTTTCAAATTCTTTTAATCTATGTTATTATGATACATATTAGACATACCCTTAAACTTTTTGGTTAAAATCTCAATTTGATCCTTTTACTTTGACAAAAAAACCCTTTCTTAGTCCATCTACTTAAAAAAACCTCTTTTTGTTCTTCAAGTTTGAAATCTGATCATTTTTTATTTCATCTGTTAAGTTTTGACATTAAATGATAAAAATTTCAAATGAGAGAGACCAAAAGAGACTTCATTTTAAAGTAAATGAATCAAATTGGGGTTATTTTTAGCTATTTTTTATCTTTTTTTGGTCTTTTTATTTTGAAATTTTTATCATTTAATATGTCATAAATGCAAAATTAAACAAAATGACTAAAAAGACACCGAATTTCAAATTTTAAAAACTAAAAGAGATTTTTTTAAGTAAAAAAATTAAAAATATATTTTTTACCAAAATAAAGAGACAAAAATGAACATTTAACTAAATTTTTAATACGGTGGGGCAATGACCACCGCAAAGAACCAACCATCTGCGATGGGCGATACCCTATTATACGGGGATTGGGTTTGGGCCAGCTTTTCATTAACTGGAATCCAGATTTCATAGCGGCGCCTGAGGCTGGATCCAGCTTGGGGTCCATCCAATTCGGAATTTGGGCTGGCCCTTGATCACTGTAAAGGCACTTTCTCGGAAGACGACATTTTCTTGGGTAACAAGAATTCTCCATCTTTTTAGACTCCTTCTGTCAAGAAAAAAGTGAAGAAACTCCTCCAGGAAGGTTTGTCACCGTCTTAATTGCATCCGATCGCCATGAAGCCAGAGTCGAAGCAGACTTTCCGCAATAAAACTGACAAATCCAGTGCTTCCTGCTACGACTTCACCAAACTCTCTGAGGCACTTGAGTCCACCCAGCAGAACAACAGTGGTGGATTTATCGCCACCGTAGCTGACTCTGGTGCTGTACGGAGCGACAGCAAGTCTCTTTATGAGCTCAAAGAGATGTCTCAGGCATTGAATCATGTGGAGAAGAACCTTAAGAAGGTTAAGAGGAGCCTCAAGCCTAAGAAGCGGTGCAAGAAGTTGATGAATCGAAAACAGAGCATAAATATTCAAGCGTTTGAGGATTTTGAAAAGCTTAATCCAATCGCCTATCTGCTTTTCCAGGAGCGTCCGTTCACAATATTATCCGTGGTTTATTGAAATGCCATGATCTCAAGTCTTAAATTATCAACTTCTTCAGTCTAATTGTAAGGAGATTAATCATATATGCAGCAATTAATTAATTTCTTCTCCCCACTTCCTTATTTTCATTTTTTTTTTAATTTTATTTTCACAGCCTTAAAACTTTTCAATTAAAAAAAATTCGGTTCATTTTAAATAAAATTAAAAGTTCAAATTTTATAAATAAAAAATTAAATAAGAGATTTCTAATTTTAAGATGATTCGATTCTAAATTAATTTAGTATCGTGACTTTTAAATATTAATTTTAAATATTAAAAATTGGTATAAAAAAAAATCAGGGAGTTATCTTCAATCATGCATAAACGGTGCTGGGTTGTGATAAGTCGAATCTTGAACTTTCCTGTAAGTGAGAAAAGAAAAGTATTAATAATGGATGTGAATTTCTACTGTCTGGTTTTCTTACAAATTTGTCTTCATTTATGTCCAGTCTTTCTCATTGAATTCACCCCTTCTGCAAATATATCAGCTTTTAAGTTTAGCTCTGTGTATCTTGACTTTTGCATTGAACTGATTCATATACATTGTCTATTTTCTTCTTAGTAGGAGAATTTTTCGTATTTTCTAAATTTTTTGCTCTTTTGAAAAAAATAAAAACCCAAGTTAAACGCATCTAATTTGTTGGGTTAAATGGCTCTTATCACTTTATAAATGTGTAATATTCTTTTTTTGAGTTGAGTTCAAATCTCATAATACCTCATTAAAAAAAAAAAAAAAATCAAGTTAAACTTTTTCTACACAGTATCTTGCCTTTTTGCTTCCCATTTTTCATTTAGAATGTAGAACTAACATCTAATAACCCGTATAGTGTATACAACAACCATACATATACATGCCCCTGATACCGATTTTAGTGCCCTTACAAAAGTTCTGATGGTGTTTGATTGAGTAGCAATAAATTGCTACATTCCTAGGCAAAATCTTGCAAAATTTCCTCTTTTCCCCTCCTTTTTTACCCATTACGAATCCAATTTTGATATTTTGATTAGCTGGAAGGCAACTAGGCAGTAATTGCATATGCATATTTAGGAAAATGGAGAAAACTTTAGTCAATTTCAACCAATAAAGGAGGATTTGAAGGGTATCTTGTGGATGTGATCCTACTGTCTTTAGGTGAAGATGGTGGGTCGCTCCGGCTGCACCCTGCACAGCTGCACAATTCTGCTGCTGTTGCTGATTGCGTACGGACTCGATGATATCACCTGAGCCCTCTTTCCCTGCAACGCATGACCCGCCATTTTCTCTGTCTTCCCCACCTTACCTCCCCCTTACCGCCAATAAATGCCCCTCTATTCATGTTCACATACTACTAATTATTATTAGGAAAATGTTATTGAATAATTTTTTTGTTTTATTTTTTTTATATTGATATATTATTAAAATAATTAATTTTTTTTAATTTACATAAAATTTAT